CCCCCAAAACCCCAAAACCCCAAAACCCCAAAACCCCAAGATATTCATAGAATATTGAATATATTTATCCGAAAAATTCCAAACCTATTGCAACACAAGCTGTTAAAATGGTGGCTGTAAGAGTAGAGCTGTAAGCACTATCGAACTCTCCGAAAGGCCAGAGGATATCAGAAGGCCACTCATATGCAACTTTATGCTTTCTAGACCCAAGGGAGGCTTCTTTTTCTGTGATTCTGGTATATTGATAGCTCACTTTTAGGTCTATTTTTCGATTTTGAGCTACAAAATCATCATAGTTTACAGTTCTTCTGATGCCCTTCTTCCTTGCTGATATAATATAAGCATGCTGGTTCTCAGGAGATCCTCTTTTAGCAGTCAAGAATTGGACAGAAACTTCTGTGAGTAAATTGCAAGTCTGAGCAGTGGCATCATAAGTTGATGTAGCATAATCTAAATCTTGCTCAATGACAGTTATCCAGTCACTGGGATAATTGACATTGGCATTTCCGTATTTCCCAACCCTGTTTAAGTTGGTAAGCTGACTAAAAATATTTAGGCTTCCCCTTGCGGCATTATTGCATAGTGTTTGGAACTCTGCAGCAGTGGTTCCAAGTGCTTCAACATAACATCCTGTTGTTAAATTCTGATTGAAATTCAAAGTATTCTCAGCAGTCGTAGTAAGTTTATCAGCTTGATTTGAACTTGTTTCACAAGTAGTAGCAGAAACTTCAACTCTATATCCATCTGGATTTGAGTCAATACCTAGGCTAGAGCTACTAGTTGTACCAACAAGAAGAGGCTCATTGCCAAGATACCCAGAATTACCAGATCTATAAGTCTTTTGTGAAACAGAGTTATCTAATTCAAAGAATGTCCTGAATCTCATAGGAACGGACACCGTTGAGCCTGCAGTGGTAGTAGTAAGCGATTCATAAAGCACCAGAATTACGTCAACTGATGAAGGAACAAGGAACCCATCACTCCTGTTTGTATATTTGAATGTGTAGATGGCTTCTTTCAAGATATTCCCGCATTGAGTAGTAGAAGTGAAGGTTGAAGCTGGAGCAGCAGTAGTGGCTTTGGTATATTTTCCATTAGTATCCACTGTGTAATATGCGGAAGATGTGACATCCACAATTGATGAAGTTGACTGGGGATTAAGTACAAGGCTCATTCTTCCCTTGAAGTAGTATTGAGGGTTAAAATCTGCACCTGTACAGCTAGCAGAGCTAAATGTTAGCTCTCCCATACAAGTCACATCTTCATTAGTTAGATATAAAGCAGGAGAATTGAAGTCACAAGCGCCGCTAAACCCTGGCTTAGGAAGTCTGAAATGTCTAGCATTCCCTTGGTCCTGATAAATTGCAAATAGAGGATCTCCAATTGAGTAATAATTATTTGTGGGAGTTTCATCAATTGTGAAAAGCTTGGTCCCAAAAGTAACATCACTCGAATCAAGATCGTTCACTTCATCATTCGTCACAGAAGTCTTTGTCTTAAAGAACTTATTAGAAGGAGGATGGTTGTTGAAAAATATACAGAACAGCCGAGTCAAAGGCCCAGCATAGCTATACTCTCCTCTTTCCCTATTATAGTTTTTGATGTTGCTGTCACTAACACAGTCGTTTAGAGGTAAAGCAACCTCTTCAGCTTCATCACGTCACAAATTGTTCTTCTTCCACTGGCTTCTAAGGCTAGAGCAATCATAGTCACAACAACAGTAAGCATCACATGAATTGGAGGTAAGGTCGCATTCACAAGTTCCAGGATCTTCTTTTTGAGGCAGCACATTAGTACTCAAAGTTGCGGATATGTTATTGCCATCAATTGTATAATCATTGTAGAAATTAGCACTAGCTAAGCCACTCAGTGCTACCAAGAACACAAATTGGCACAATCGATGATGGAGGGAAATCATTGACATCTTTATTTTAAATTACAACTATTTTTCAAACAAAAGTTATCAGCAAGGGGTTTTGGGGTTTTGGGGTTTTGGGGTTTTGGGG